TACCATTTAATAAAAATAGGCCTACTGTGTAGCAACAGAAGAACACTTAAAGATCTTTTTTGAGTGAAAAATCTTGTTTTATACTCTGTATAAATACACAGATATTAATAACAAATACAAAGCATATGCCCTAATGAACAAAACTTTCAAATTATTTGAAACTTAGTTGTTGGGAGAAAAGGTTTATCAGTACATAGCTATACCAACTTTGAAGGCTTTTTAACATAGGTTCCTAATGTAACTTTGAATAATAAAATTATTCTGACTCTTCTGGACTGAAAAATAAATAACATTAATACAAATTAGCTTATATACTACTAAAACAGTTATTACATGTTAGTGAAAAAAAAAACAAATAAAAAGGTGATTTTTTTGTGCCCTACTGTTGATTTATTAACATACCTTCTTTCTCTTGAGGCAAAGCATATGCTGACAAAGTTACTTCATTTTCAGGTAATTGAATTTGCTTGTTACCTCCTGCTGAAACCACCAAATGGTGAATTAAAGGAGCAGAAGTGGAACTGGACTTAGTATCTACCACACTACTGTTTTTATCTCCAAAGTTTGTAGTAGTAGATGGCTGAAAAAAATTAACAATGCAATGCTGTCCATAACTATCTTCCAACATGTTTATGCATAAAGAAATGAAACACAAGACTAAGATAATCAAATAGAAACATTAGATGTTTTTGTACATATAGTAAAAACTAGCTTGCACCATCTTGTCATTTATCTTACTTTTACAATTACCATCAATGCTTGCATCAAATATTTCACTAATATTGCCTAAGCAAAGGGATAATGAAGTATTCTTCTATTGACATACCAGAACAACTTACAAACATTTACTGCCATTACATAAAAATAAACTCAAGCTGCAGTAACTAATATTTTCTGTAATAACATGTCTGTTAAAAAGCACTTCTTTCTAGTACCTTATCGTACTATATTCTATCAACAAATCTAACTTTCAAAGCTCTTAATAAATTGTAATGAAGTACTGTGGTGATTCTGGTACACCTGACAAGTTATCACTTTTGTTATTATGACACTTCTATAGAGTTGAGTTCCAAAGCATTGAATACCCATAATTCTTTTGAGTGTGTGTATGCTAAAACCCATCCAAGAACCATTTCACTATGCTAAGTATGAGACAGACATGTGTAGAAATGAAGGATAATCATGCAAGAGGTATATAAAAGGAATTTCATTACAAAACTGTTGTTTTTAAGTACAATATTACCTCTTTATTATGTTATGCTAAAATATCCACATAAGACATGATAAGAAAACAGAATGGGAAAAAGAGCAAAATATAACAAAATAATAAAAAACTGAGAAGAGAGCTGATTCACATGACATGTGCATTCATTGTCATATGTAAAAAGACAAACATTAAGACTTACATGAAACCTCAAAATTTTTTAATCAAAGAAAACAACACTCAACAAAAACTGAAGGATGGAACACTGGCCAAAAAGGAAAAGAAAGTAACTTTAGCTTATTTACTCACAGCACCAAGTCAGATATGCATAACTAAAGGACACACCCCGTTTAGGTGACTTCAAAGATTCATGACTACAGTTTGTCCAAAAACCATAAGGAAATACAATAACAACTTTTATGAAACAGTTAAAGTTTCAAAAAAATAAGTTGGCCTTGGATCCAGAAACATGTAAGAATCGAAGACAAAAGAGCAGAGTCAATAAGAAAAAAAAATATATATATAGATATATATACACACATACATCCATACACTAACTCCAATAGAGGAATCAGGTAGTTGACAAAGGATGTTTAAATGTATAAATGGAAAAACCACACACTATTTGTATCTACAGAATGAAATCAGAAAAGCAATCAAATTGGAGTGAAATGTGGCCAAAGGCAAGAAAATATAGATAAAAAACAGCTAAAAGAGCACCAATGCAATTCAATAAAGGAACATGGGAATGTATAAGTAAGAAATATGATGCCAATGAAGAGGAAAAGGAAAGACATATAGAGTTCTTCAACCTCTCCAAGAAAACCTAGCTATGAGTCACAAAATTTTCTCAAAACATATTTACCTTGCTGTTTGTGTCTTGTTATAAATAAATCTGTTATAAACACACACACACATTGTAACCTTCTCCTCATTTTCATGTTTGAACTGTTCCTCTTCCAGCTGTTAATGGAGGAATTAAGATGTTACCATACCCTAATAACATACCAAAGTACTAATGTAACGGTCTCATAGAGGCTGTAGATCTTGGAATAAAAACAACATAAAGAAAAATTGAGCAACTTTCTCAACTAAAGCAAGATGGTGATTGTTAAAATTTGAGACAGATGGATCCTCAACATTCTATTAACCAACACAGTACAGGCATATAAACCATACAACTGACTACTAAAGGCAATTAAAAATATTAAGAGAGTTAGAAAAAGAATCAGGAGTCACATAAAGTTATGGGAACAAAATACATGGAGGCTCACAATAAATAGAATTCAGACACATACAAAACGTGTAGTAATTCAAGGTTATACCTAAACACTGTTTGCTAATCTCTAAAAAAATAGAGAGATCTGTTGATCTAGCTTGCACCTGGAAATGTGCAATGATTCATAACATCATAACAGTTGGAATAAAAGAGACAAGATACAGTGTTAAAGTTAGAATAAAAATAAACTGCATTTAAGCAGGAATCTATATATATATATATATATCTAGAAGAGAGGTCAATGTCTGTCTGTCTGTCTGTCCGCAAAACTCCTCCCACAGTTTAAGTTCCATTTGGATGAAACTTTGCACAATCTTCCAACATCATTACAATTGAGTCTCTTTTTAAAAAATTTAGTCAGTGCATGTCTCCCCCACTTTATAAAAAATAAATCAATAACAGCTTTATATCACACCAAAATGAAAAAATTTCATAAAATAAACCCTTGTTAAAATTTAAAAATAATAGGAATTTATTTTATAATATCTTTTCTTAAATCACTTTCTTAATGGAAAAATGATACTTCTGTTCTTTAAAACTTTGTACATTTATTATTATTAACGAAATTAATTTTTTGAATAAAACTTCTAAAATTGTGGTAAAGTAACTTTAATGCAGAATTTCAAAGTGAGTCTTCCTAGTGGAGAATCATTGTGATATTTTGGGAGAAAAGTGACTTTTCTGCTGAAAAATCCAAGCGTATGCTATGAATTGAATTGTTCTGTGACCGAAGGAATTGCAAATCCTTCATACGGAGTTTGTTGAATACAAATTTGCAGTAATTTTGTAGTAAGTCGATTTTTGTAAGTTACACAAGTATTTTTTT